GGCACGTAAAAAGTTGCCCAATTCCGTCATTTTCCACCAGTGTGTTAACCTGACTCCGCCAGATGGATTTGCTCCGCATATCCATCTGGAAACCTTCTGTTGAAGTAATTTTGGGAAGGGGCGAAAATACTGGTTAGCTGATTGGCCTATGTTGGTGATAGACGGGCCAAATAAACCAATCAGATCAACGAAGCATATGACGTAACAGAGCGACGACGAAGAGGAGCCAATTGATAGATCAAACTCTTGCTGAAACCAGTCGGGAGAAGAGCAAAAACATCTTTTCCTCTGAGAAAAGCCTCCAGAGCAGTGTTTTGCTCTTCTTTAAAGAAATACTCTGTAATTCCGATAAAACTTGCTCGATAGCCACGCTAACGCTAGTTTCATCGGCTGACGCCGCCATGTTCTTTAGACTGAACTGTCGCGCTTCTCGTTGCGTCACACCTCAACCCGCCTCAAAGCCAACGCTGATTGGACGTTCGTTTGGTGAACGGCTCCAAATTTTCTTTAACGGAGAGTCTCCAGACTGATCTGCGAGTGAAATCTTGAAAGCTCGCGAGATCAGGATGGTCTCACGAGGCTACCAGTGTGTCACTGGCCCTCTCAAACAACTCACATCTTTGTCAGTGAAGCTGAGTGCTCCCATATCTCTTCCTTCATGGTGCCCATCTACATTAAGATCCAAAATTGTGAGATTAAAGTCAAAATTCTGAGATTAAAGTCAGAATTCTGAGAAAAAAGTCAGAATTCATTCTTAATTGAAATAAAATTTTAAATCAGTAACCGTTTTTTGTTTTTTTTCCCAGTGGCCCTAATCCTCTTCCATACCCCTACAACTTTTTGGGATGTACATTTTTCAAGTTACCTCTCAAAGTCACCTGATTAGTGTCTATCCCTTTAAACTAATGGGCCAGGCATCGATATACATGATTAAAGAAGCAGCCAAGAGACCTTAGGGACCAGCAGTGAGCTGTCCTAGTTAGATGAGACAAATGTGAAACCTTTGGTGCTCGTTTGTAGCCTGACGTAGTCCGACTCAATTCTAGTCAGAATATGAGTCTGATACTGCTCCATAGAGCTGTGATTATGGGGCGTGTTTTGAACGAACCAGGAAAAAAAATGCCTCTGCACTCAATTGGATAGATCTACAACCAATAAGAGCAACGGAGTGCGTGACGTATGTTAAGCGACGCATAGTTATTGTCCACAAAATCAAAGCGTGCAGTTTCACGCCTAGAATAATAAGATGAGACTTGATCGCGTTTCTCTGTTCCTCTTTTAAAATTAATTTGCTGTCGATATCTTCTAGAACAGACCTAATAGCAGAATCTACTCACCCAAACTCTCCGGCGGCAGCCATTATTGTTGTCACCCAAGCGCGCTTTGGTCACGTGGTTGATAACGTTACTCTTGATCATCTGTCCATCATCGTATAAAGCCCGCCCTGACAATTTGATTGGATCGCCTGACAGTGGGCTTTAATACTCGCGCTACTATGGAGCAGAGCCAGACCGAACTTCCCCGAACTCAAACCTTGTGGGCGGGACTAAGTTCGGACTTGCACCCAGGCTAGCTCGTTTGAGTATTTATGTGAGAAAACTAAAAACTGATCTTCAGGCCGGACTAGGGCTTATTTTGTAAATCAATTAATCTGTCGATTGTTTTTTTTTTGATTAATCGATAAATAATCGGGTAGCCAAAGGTTCCTCAAAGACATTTTTTTTTACAAAATTAAACCAGGTGAAACCAAAGCTTTTCCACTTGAGGCGTTCTGGGTAGAGCATGTAACCAGAAGAAAAATGTTTTAATCTTTAATGCAAATATATTATTATTCTATAATATTGGTATAATTGCTGCTCTGTCAGCTAAAGGCATATTTTACAGTCTCTGTACTCCAGTTAATGACTAATCGATTATTAAATTAAGTGAAGATTAATTCAATAATCGATTAATCACGATAAATCTGATTATTGTTTCATCTCTTGGCTGGACAAACCAGCAACACCTGTGGACATGGTTTTTTGCAGCATCATTCTGTTTGGGTATCTGTTTCACCAGGAAAAGAGAAACTGACCAGTTAAATACTGGATAGTAACACTTATCCTAAAGAGAAATCTGCTTCAGAATGATCCAGATCACAATATAGTTCTTCCTCTTTTTATGGTCCTGTCAAAGTCTAGTTTGGGGTTAAGTTTCCCATTCCAACAAGACAGACTATGGAACATTGAATGTGCGATTTGGCCTTGAAAATTTAAACACTGAAAAATTGAACTATTGAAAATGTAAAAACAGAGAAAACTCAAAATTCCCTAATGGAAAAAAAAGAAAACACTTATAGCGATGCTGTTATTTTCAGCTGCAGCATTATTTCAGTGAGAGATGATTGCAGTGAGAGATGCAGAGATCCTTCAGTTACAAGCTGGCACTGTGTGTGTCTGTGGGGGGGCTAAACAGAAGGCTCGTCCAAATTGAGTCAAGCCAACCTAGCTTATTTTGGGATGAAATTTACTCGTTGCTTTATACAGCCAAAGATAATAATAACAGACTTGACACCCTTAAAGGGGAACGCCGTTTTTTTTTTTTTTTCTACATTGGCCCCTTGATTTTACGTTATTACATCATGTTCTACTCACCCTTATAAGTTTTGTGTCATTTGGAGCTGTTCTGAAGATATTCTATTAGGTTTTATCCAGGTAACGTCTTCCTATGGGCAACGACTTGAAGGCACAAACTAAACTGTTCATCATTTATCATTTATGATACGCCAGCATTCATAACATGGAGGCCAATCACTGTACCCCAGACATCCGCGGTTATATTTTTTATATTTATATCTTTTAAAAACAAAGCAGAGTGTTTATGACGTCATCCTCACGCGCCGGCTACCGTTTATTCATCCTGTCCGCTGAACTGCTGCTAGTTTTTTTTGTGTCCTGTCTGGCAATGTGGCAATAAGCATAATTGTCTAGATGCCAAAAAGAGCCCAACAGATTTTACTTTCACAAGTGTAGCAGTATGGCAATTGCCATATTGCTCCACTTGTTTCATGCATATAAATTGATTTATTATAATTATGCAGGGAGTTTTACAGTTTATATGGACACTGCAATGTAAATAGAGCAGAAAAACAGAAGAAGAAAAAGAAGAAAAAAAGAGAAAAGATGAAAGAAAGAAGAGATAGAAAGGAGACAATGACAAAACATTTTCGATCTGCTTCATCACCTGTAACGAGATGTAAAAAGAACAGCACAACCGAGAGACATGGTACGAGATATACCATGAAGCAACACCTTGAAACTATCGCTGAAGTAGTATTATTTAGTCTGACATGTACTCTGCGTTACCTGAAGATGTGAATGTAGGCTTTCTGTATGGAAGTGAATCTCTGAGTACCTATAGCCAGTGCTAGTTTTAGTCGCATGCCTGGAAGATGTCTACACTGCAAAAAATCTAAATCTAGATAAGTCATTTTTTCTTAAAATAAGTTCTTGAATTGAGGAGGTAAAAGAGACATTTTGCCAATGGAACAGGACAATTTACATTTAAAATAAGAAAACACAGTTGCATTGTCTTATTTCAAGTGCATATTATCTAATTATCTTATTTCAAGAGTAAAATTACTCATTCCATTGGCAAACTATCTCATTTCCCTACTCAAATTAATGGTGAATACACTTAATTTAAGAAATTTTTACTTATTTCTACTACCACAGATGATCTCGCTCTCGAAATGGAATTGAACGATTCAGATTAGCTAGAATTAATAGAAGGGGATAGAGCGTAGCCGCCTGTGGCCCAGGCTGCCTGTCAGAACTCAAATCCGGCGTGCGGATGACGTCATACACGCGCCGCTTTGTTTTTAAAAAATATAAAAAACCGCGGATGTCTGGGGGACAGTGATTCGCCTACATGTTCTGAATGCTGGAGTACCATAAAGAATAAATGATGAACAGTTTAGTTTGTGCCTTCAAGTCGTTGCCCATAGGAAGGAATATAAGGAACGGAATATCTTCAGAACGGCTCCAAATGACACAAAACTCATATAGGTGAGTAGAACATGATGTAATAACGTAAAATCAAGAGCCCAATATAAAAAAACGGCGTTCCCCTTTAATTATCACTGAGGAGCAGTACTTGAACCAGAGCCCTCCATTAGTTCACCACAGGTAGATGAATACCGGAAACAAGGAGAGGCCCTGAAGGAGCCTTCAGTTATCTGAAGGGCCACATTGAAGCTGAAGGAACTCTGCTTTGACAGTGAAATCATCTCTGCTGCAGCAAAAATTAAAGAATCATCAGATTTAATTTTTAAGAGGGAATTTTTAGATTTAAAATGTGTTAAATTTCAAGGCCAAATCTCACATTCGCCGTCACTGATTTAGCTCCATGTAAGAGCTCAGCCCTGATGACTGATATAAACAGTGAGTAAAAAAAAAACAAGTTGTTGGTTGTAACTGGGCTGAATGTGAAAAAGTCTCGGGTTGTGAATGCTTTAGGAAGACTTGCTTCGCTCTGTGTGAGGATGCTCTCTGTGTCTGACTGTCCTGGCATCCTGGCTCCTCCCATCTCCTCCCGTCTCCTCATGCCGCCTGCTTGCTCGATGCAGAAGCTCATCCTAAAGCTGGTGAACCACTATTAGAGCAAATGTCACACAGACATGTGATCCAACCACACTTTAATGTTAATGTTTTACACATTTACTGCATCTCTCTCTCTCTCTCTAGCTCTCTAACAGCCTCTTATTAACATCGACATGTTTTTAGGATCAGCACATCCTTCGAAGCTCTTCCAGCATGTCAGATTCACACTCTGATTTGTCTCAGACATTTCCTCCTTTATGCATCCCTAATTTTTCATTTCCTGTCTTGTCTTTTCTCCTGTGATCTCCGGTGTCCTTTCTCTGCTGCCTGCCCCCACCCCCCCTGCTGCTTGTCTCTGTGCCTGTGGCCTTTTCCTCTGTCCCTCTGGCCCCCTCTGCTGTGGTGGGCGTGTAAAAACAGCCTCCAGAGGACAGGACCTGGGTGTACTCTCCGCTACACTATGGCTCAGAGTCTAAGGCCCTGCCAGATGGGGATTGGGAAAGAGAGACAGTAAGTGAGAAGCATCAGAATTCAAAATGAATCAAAGTACAGGGACTTCCCTCAGATCAGGAAATCAGACTCGGAGGTGATTCTCAATCTGGTGCTAAAGCGATAGGAGTTGTAACAGGTCTCTATTTGAGCAGCAGGCTTCAGAAACTTCAAGCAAAGCCAGGCCCTAAATGACAGCTTTCATTTATTCAGTAGTAAATGTTTGGAAACGGTCACAGTCTGCCTGCCTGATCATTTAGTCCACAGTCAGCCATCATGTGCGTCTCCTGATGCTTTGTTTACCATCTTCCTTTCTAAAACATGCCGACCAACAGCCATTTCACCCGCTTTTTTAATACTTTCTATATCTGGTTTAAGATAGAACTGATGGTGTCTGTTAGAGGACATGGATATCAGTTCTCCAGCTGATTCCTCATCTCTGTTTTCATTGTTTTGATCAGTTCAGACCACTTCTAATGGATTCTTTAATTGTAAAATAAGATATAACAGCAAAAACAAAACAAAAAATGTCTGTCCCTCATTGATGTCCGACCATCCAGGAGGGCAAGGTCACCCTACGGCATGTTCACAAATACTGTAACATTTCATAAGAACTAGAGATTAGCTCTAAGGTTTTAAACATTGTCAGATAGATCTAGGATGATCTAGATCTTTACCTCAACAAACTGCAGGTCCGTTAGCAAACATTACAGTAATATGTTTAGCCTTCATGTTCTCTGCAACATTCTCTCTCTCTCTACAAAACCTCAGAGAGCTCAATTAATAAAATAGTACACATCAGTAATTGAACTGTTTATTGTATTATTGTTGGTTACATTATTATATTTATCAGTTATAAATTGATTATAATAGAAATAAATGTTGGTATTCTAACAAACATATACAGTTAAATGAAAAATTGCTCACACTGCAGGAGGATTTACATTCATTTGTTTTCAGTCCTGCTTCCACTGCTTTTCTTTTTTCACCATTCGGTTTTTTTGTTTTTTGCATTGAACTCCAAGTCTTCCTCTTTGCTATCAGGCTAATAATCAGATTAGATTAGATTAGCCTGTTTGATTTAATCTGACAGGCAATCTGTGGAAGTAGCTACAGATTAGGGTGACGGTTTCCGTCCAGAGCCCATCAAAGATAAATAAGTGGAATATAATTTGCTCAGATATTAGAAAAAAGGTTGTACTGCATGTCATTTAATTTAAGCAACAGACTTTTAAAAATATATATACTTGAATTTAGCTGTGTATAGTATTAAAAAATACCAACAAAAAAAAAACGAGTCACCCTCCAGTAACAACAGCCACACTGAGGAGGGTTACTTTCATTTTCACCCTTTAGCTCCCAGGTGTGTAGCTTTTAATGACCGTAGAAGGTGGAGTTTAATATCTCGTGTCTCTAGCTGAGATAGATGAAGAACTTCAGTTTTCCTAGACTTTTTATCCTCCATGATTTTAATTCTTTGCATCATTTGCTGCTCCAAAAAACACTCACTGACATTTAAAGGAAGGTTTTTAAATCCGACTTTCGAACCACAAAATGCATGTTTTGTTAAAGCTCTGCTCCGCTGCTTATCTACCTTATTTGCTTCAAGTATTTAATGTTTACACTCATTTAAATACGTCAAATGTCTCTTTCTGTGTCCTGCAGTAAACCCTGTTTTCCTGGCGGAGACGGAGAGAGAGAGAGAGGGAGGAGTGAACGACTCATCAGTCTGAAGTCCAGACCCCAACAGCAGAAGCAGGATCTCTGAGTGCTGCAGGATTGTAAAAACATACTGAGAGAAAAAAGGTGAAATGAACACCTAAGGAGTGGGGGAAAAAAAACCCTGACAGTGATGACGTCACTGGTTTCCAACCATCCCTGCCTTTCACCCTCGACAGAAGAAATTTATTATATAAATTTAAGGATTTCTCTATGTGTGTGCGTGACCTAGTCTGTGAAAGGCTGTAGTAGTATATGTTTGACATACATGCTTCTAAATCAGCCCTCTTAACGGATTTAAAACTGGTTTTCTCGTCGAATCTCCGGAGCTGGGATGTGCAACAGAGATGTCGACTCGGTCTCTTTCAGTCCAGTTTTTAATCGTCACACTTTGGTTTGCTTGTCTCATCCTTCTCTGGGTTCACTTGCTGCGTTGAGGCAGCCATGAGCAGTTATTGTGAAGAGAAGACAAAAGAGAGCTACACCTTTAAGAAGAGGAGCTCTCTTCATGCTCACTTGTCGTTATTCCTTTGTCGTTTTGCACAGCTTTTTCTGTTCGATGATTATCTCGGGTGTTTGAGTCACAGAGTTAATCTCTTCCTCTCAGAGTGGCTCAGTTTGCCCCACAGCTCCCATCATCACATTCCAGTTCATATTGTTGGATCTTAACAATCTCATTTCACTATTTGGTATTTAAAGCCAGGCACTGTAAGACATTTCAAACCAACCAGGAGACTCTTAAATTGATTAAAGGTTATTTTCTGTGATCTAAACACAGATTAATTTAGAGGTCAACCTTTACCATCTATAGAGCCAGTTGTGCCCTCGCTACTTGACTGAAATTAGAGATGCAAAACGCCATAACATAAACGCTCTCCAATCGGGTTTTATACGCGCTTTTTTATCATTAGTCAGCCATGATTTTATACAATATTTAGGTTGAAACCCAAAGGAAACTTTTAAAAATAACAGATTAATGTGAAAGTTACCTACCATCAATAGAAAAAGCACTTTGAGACAAAAATATTAGAGCAAGTTTAACGTTCATTGTGTGTGAATTGCATGAACAAAACATAGAAAACCTGCTTAAAGGAGCATTTACTTCTGTGTCTAAAAACCTGCTCTGTTTATCCAACATATTTGGGCTAAAGTTAATAAAATCTACTTTGGAGGACCTAGAGGGAATGATATAGGTTTGATTAGGGGGTTATCATTTGTGATATAAGTGTCAGCAGGACCAAAGAAAGATAAATCCATTAAAATAGGCTGTTCTATTATCATTTCTCTATAATGAAGTGCTACTGAACTGAGCCTGTGCTGCTTACCACCCAAACACACCAGTACAGCTTCTATTAATAGAATTAGAGCTTCTTTCAGAGATGGAAACTGATCTGTAGTATCAGAATTTAGGTTTGTTTTATCTCACATGTACATGGATGTATTCATTTCTGTTAAATTTGATGATTGTGGCTTACTGAAAATGAAAACTTTATGAGAATTAGATAATTACAACAATTTGGACTTTTTTTTTATTATTATTAGGCTCTAGGGCAGGGGTCTGCTACCTTTCATATCCAAAGAGCCATTTTCACCCGAGTCCGAGCAAGTAAAGTTTAGAGCCGCAAAGTAGACGACGTTTTAGAAAATTAATCTATTTGGTTTTTTTTTCTATTATCTTATATAGGAAATTAGATGCCATCTTAAACAACAAACAATTTATGTATTTTAAAATAATATTAAAACAAATTCTAGGCTAATTAAAAGAAAAATGGCTCTAAAAACATATTTCTGGTTCTTTTAATGTCCTTAACAATCTTACAAAAAACACTAAAGCTTTTAAGACTTGTGTTTATTTTATAGTACATTATTTAGCTCTTTATATACATTTTAGCCACTATTAAGAGCCACTGTAGAGGGTCCAAAGAGCCACATGTGGCTCTGGAGCGGCAGGTGGCAGACCCCTGCTCTAGGAGCTTTAATTTTGGTGATTTCTGAAAGTAGCTAGACAGGAAACAGGAGTACAGAAAGAAGGAAACCTGTGACTCCGCATCGAGCTGTATAATCCAGAAGTTTCACAGCTTGAATTGACTTACTGAGTTAAATCTTCCTGGAGTTGTTTCTTTATTTATGTTTTTCTCACACTTCATTGCTGACATTTATTTAATGAGCGTGCGTTTCTCATAATAAACGTTAGTTATTGTTTACTGTGGTGTATGTGGATCACATCTTAAACCTTTTTTTTTTTTTTTTACTCCAGTGTGACTTCCTTCAGTGGGTTGGCGTGTTGCTATGCCTGCTTTTAAGTGTTAAGTAGAAACCAGTTCTCACCATGTGCAGTGGCCAGTCGTTCTCAGTTTACTGTTGTTCGTCAGATGAGCAGAGCAGGAAATATTTTGAACCGTCTACGTTTTTTGAGGGGGTTTTTTTCGCCTTACTGGGAAGTTTAACGTGGGTCTAATGTTTATATTGTTTTTTTTTTCACCTGTATTCTTGTATTTATTTGTTGTTGTTTTTTTCGTCCTCATTGCTGTTTTCTTGAGAAAATGTACATAAATCTATAAATACATATATAAAGATATACAAATATATTTTCCATTTGAATCGGGGAATCTTATTTTTATTTTTTGGGTTTATTTTTGCTGCTGGGTAAGTGCTGATTGCACGACTGCAATCCACATAAATTGACCACATTCTTCGGTGTGTCTGTTCAGATGCAGCTGCTGTATATTTATGGTGTGTAAAACCCACAGCTGTTCTTTTTTATCATTTCTGAAACAGAAGGACTTGTGGGTTACTACCTTACATGCAAATCAAATAGGGATTCTTCCAAGTGTTCAGCTGTGTTGTGTATGTGTTTTCAAATCGCCTTGTGCCCTCATCCAATAGGGAGAGCCCGTTGCAGAGACATAGCATGATTTCACAAATAAATATGCATATCAGAAACGTGTATTTTATGTATATCTGTGTACATTCATCTATTTATATCTTGGAATAAATAGATGGCAGTGTGTGTGCGTGTGTTTGGACTCAATCAGGATGAATATGAAATAAAGCAGTTCTATGAATTGTCCATGGAAACAGTGTTGTGCTTTTTATTTGTGGGTAAAATTATCTACATATTGTCTTTTTTAGTAGAAACATTCATTATAATGACTTTTGTAATGGAGTGGCAATATTTCCAGAGGCTGCATGTCTATAAGCAGGAGTGTTAGAGGAGGTGTAACTTTATGTAAATGGTTTGTTATGCCAGAAAGGTATCTAAGAAGGTAACCATGGAGGCCTTTGCAGGAAACCAGAGAAATATTTCCTTGGAAGAAAAAAGAATAAGGTCCTTACAACAGCTATCATTACTTGTGATGAAAAACAGAAAATAAAGCCTAAAAATCCTGTATTTGCTCAAAAAGGAAACACTCAAACTAAATCTAAGCAGCTGAGCAAAATGTTAAATAACTGTGCAACAGTTGGTAGCATTATTAGGTACATTTATAAAGAATAATACTTTTTTACAGCACTTGAATCTTCCTTATTGTTTTATGGGTTTTTTTTTGACCGATGCAAATTGCATGTGAAATTAAGCATCTGAGTAGGAGTGTCACAATCCAGATCATTAAGTTATAAAAATTAGATGAGCCTATGTGTTTAACTAGTGGGTTAGAGCAGTGCGCTTGTGCACTGAGAAGGTTGCAAGTTCCCGGTTCGATCCCCACAGCCTGCACTCTGCGTTCCTGAGGAAAACCCTTAACCCAGAGTGACAGAGAGTGAATTTCCTCTTTGTGGGGCGGTAAACATTGAACACTTGGACACTTCATTTTGGGAAATACATTAACTTTACATTAACTACTCTTCTTGTAATTTCAGTGTGCAAATAAAAATCATACCACTACCAGGTTTGAGTCTTTATCAACAAAATATGTTCTTTTGTGAAATAGCTGATAACCAATAAACTTTACAGGAACTTTAAGTGAGCAATAAATCTGAACTATTGCTTGAGGAGCTCAGCTGAACTTATATGCTGCCTTTAACTAGACTGTTCTAACATTTAAAAATGCATGGATCTAAAACAATTTTCTTGCAATTCTCACAATCTGTCTGATCTTGAACTTTTTTTTCTAGTTAAAGTATTAAGAAGTGACAACACTCTAGATGCTTTTCATAATTGTTTATTTTTTATGTCTGCCTGTTAAATGAAAATCGGTGGAATATCATAAAGTTTGTGGTGGAAACGTCTTCAAATGGGAAAAGTTTAAAGGATCTAACATTTTTTTCAAGGAACTTTATTACTATCCCAAAAAATCTAAACACCATTAGGAAGTTTGTTCTACAGTATGATAATAAGTGTGCCAGTGTTTTTTGTGGGATATAATAAATATAATTTAAGAAAATAGCCCTAATGTTAAGATATATATTTTCTCCAATTAATACAAATTTTACTTTAATCATAAAAGACTCTTCAGGAATGATCAGGGCGTTAGAGGAACAAAGGCGCTACTACGTCATCTCCGTTGTTTGATTGGCATCCTGAAATCTCTGCAGTGATTGGTTAATAGACCCGTCGGTCAATAAGATCAGCTCTCCTATTGGTCAAAATGAAGGATTCCAGACTCACGTGCCTTTAGCTTACATTGAAGGCGGTGCCAGCTGATAGCTACCCACCCCGGTAGACGGAGCGGATTGTTGATACTTGGAACATATAAAGTTGAAAAATATTCTTCGAACATGGGAACGCGAGATGATGAATACGACTATTTGTTTAAAGGTATATATATATATTTTTACCAGAGAGTGATTGAAAAGTCGCGGAAAGAGCCGCGTTTGTTTTCATTCCGTGTTTGCAAACTGGAAGGAAGTCAGCTGCAGAAATGCTAAAGTTAGCATTTAGACAGACAGTGACAGCAGAAAAGAGTCATAATTAACCAGTGAGAAGATATAACATTTATCCTTACCCTGTTTGACTGTAATGTACATTATATACTTGGATAAATAAGTCCTATGGTGGCTAATGTTTTGGTATAATTGGGTTTAGGATAAAGCTGTTAGCTAACCTGCTAGCTGCTCCTCTCTCATATCAATAATGCAAAACTCTCATTATTTAGTATTTGACATTGATCGTCAGG